CTGTCGTACCCATGCTGGCGCTTTGCATGGCAGACTCCTTGTCTTTCTTTAGCTCTAAGAGAGCTCTTAGGACCATCCAAAGTCGGTGCTCTTTACCCTTACTCTTACTACTTTGCTTTCCTCTTGGCACTTACTGCAGTATACAGTTTTTCACTTGGTATATTAGCTGTTTATTCCACACAAATCTGCATTTCTCAGTTCTGCTCTTTTTTGGGGTTGGTTGCAGCCTCTGGCTACCGTCAAGTTGGCCACAGCAGCCAGAGGTTTCACATTCAAGGTTTCCTCTTCTGGTGTCTTTGTTTTAAGAGCAGGAAACTTTTCTCATGCGACTCTTGTCCACCGGAACTGGGGCTAGTCACCAGGTCTGCCACTAATCACTGGCAAGAGGAATGGAGCTATCATGACTGGCTTAGGATTAGTCAGGATTTACTCCTAGTATTGGGGATTGGGTCATCCTCCCCTGTGTCCCTTGGGGGAAGGACAGAATGGATACCTGATCAAAAATGGGAATTCTTTCTTTCTTTTTTAATTTTTTTTTAATTTTTTTTTAACGTTTATTTATTTTTGAGACAGAGAGAGACAGAGCATGAACGGGGGAGGGGCAGAGAGAGAGGGAGACACAGAATCGGAAACAGGCTCCAGGCTCTGAGCCATCAGCCCAGAGCCCGACGCGGGGCTCTAACTCACGGACCGCGAGATCGTGACCCGGCTGAAGTCGGACGCTTAACCGACTGCGCCACCCAGGCGCCGCCCCTCTTTCTTTTTTAATTTTTAATGTTTCTTTTATTTTTGAGAGAGATAGAGAGACAGAGGGTGAGCAGGGGAGGGGCGGAGAGAGTGAGACACAGAATTTGAAGCAGACTCCAGGCTCTGAATTGTGAGCACAGAGCCCAACGTGGGGCTTGAACTCAGAAACTTCGAGATCATGACCTGAGCTGAAGTCCAACACTTAACCAAATGAACCACCCAGGTGCCCTCTTTTATTTTATTTGTATTTTATTTTATTTTTTAAATTAAAACTTTTTTAAAAAACGTTTATTCATTTTTGAGAGTCAGAGAGACAGAGCATGGGCAGGGGGAGGGGCAGAGAGAGAGAGAGAGGAGGACACAGAATCCGAAGCAGGCTCCAGGCTCTGAGCTGTCAGCACAGAACCCAACGCAGGCCTGGAACTCACAAACCGGGAGATCATGACCTGAGCTGAAGTCAGACGCTTAACCACCTGAGCCACCCAGGTGCCCCACTCCCGTTTTATAAATGGGACTTCTATCAGCAATAACAAGTAGGAGAATGGATACTGGGCAGGCAATTCTCAGAGTTTGCTATAGTGGCTTCTGTAATTTGCTAGCTGTGTTCCAAGTTCACTTGGAGAACTAATTTAAATTTTTGAGAAGCATTAATCAAGAAGATTTGACTTTAATAAATATATTTTTTTCTATGCTAATAACCTGGAGCACATTTTTTGTAACTCAGAGGCTTTCATTGTTAGCAATCAATGGAAAGCTAATAAATAGTAAAGCATCTGTAGCAGATGAGGTCCTATGGTAAGATGAAAAAAATGTATGCCATCTCAGTTGAAGTTACAGGCTAGCTCAGGAGATAACTGTGCAGGGATATGAATAGGAAACCGATAATACACAGTAACAATTTAAGAGATCACAAGGCAACTCAGTATTCATTGTTAAGTAAGTGGCACAGGCTTGCTATGCCCTTGGAATTTGTAAGAGATGGAGAATCTTGAGCCCTACCCCAGATCTCCTGGAGCCAAAGCTGCATTGTGACATGATCTGATGATTTGTGTTGACATCAGAGTCTGAGAAGCCAGAGTAGAAGGTGAGAGGACAGGTAACTGGTTTGGGCTACAGTGATCTAGAAAGATTTCTTAAAGGTGAGGCTTGAGCTTCACCTGAAGGACAGGTGTGGCAGTGGGCATTTTTGTGGAAGATGATGTGATTTGACTCAAAAGTGTCTGACTCACGTGGCCTTATTGTACAGGATGAACGGGAGGGGATAACGGAATTGTGGTGTAGGGTCCTCAGGGACACGGGTTGGTAAATCATCTTGAGGAAGAAGTGAGAACTGTGTCAAAGACCTCACTTTTAAAGACAATTGTACATGTTTACAGGCTTTTTTTAATCTTAAGTTAAACTATCAGCTACGTTGGATAATTGAATCGTAATGTGGTGATTTACTAAAGGAAATAAATAGCCTTAGAAACTACTGGAAAACGAATTGTTTGCCTTTCAACAGGTTTAACTCTCCATCGTTGTGGGTAGAAGCAGCAGCTTAAAAAAGGAAGATTTATCATTAAACCCTGACATGTAGCTAAAACAGTGGGCTGAATTGTGTATTTCAGTGATTTCCCCCAACTGCCTTCAAGTAACTTTGAATCTCGATGACTTTAGTAATAACTGTAAATTTTAGAAGGTTATTTTAGATGGTAAAGTATGATAAATTTGTCTATTCTTCTACCTGCTCCCTCCTTTTTTTGTATTTGAGAATAAAGTGAAAAGACATGTTTTTGTGCAGTTTTGAATGCTTTCTCAGTTCAGTGATTCAGACTAAAGCAAAAGAACATCAAGTCTCCTGTTAAAAGCTGAATCACCAATGCAGAGGAGCAGCCGTGGCAAAAGCCCATAAAACTGAAACTCCCAGAACCGTGATTTATTGGGGGATGTTTATGACACTTTTGAGAAAATGTTGAAGTGCTATTTCAGTTGTGATAAGGTTGGGGAATGTATTTTGAGTTTCACTGTGTCCTGTTTTGATTTTCATTTTTTAGTGTGCTCTAACATTCTTAAATTATTCAGATTCAGCTCTGTAGACCATAGGTATTACAAATGTAGGGACAGTCTTTTCTTATCCAGCACCGGATCTCCAGGATTTAGTGTTGGTCCTCGTATGGTTGATGAATGATTAAAAAGCAAAAAAATTTAATTTAAAAAGATTGATTTTTATCTACCCTTGGAGATAATATATAAATGGTACATTAAAAATGAGTTATAGTTAGAAACTATTAGGACAGAAGTGGAAACTAAATGAATAACTTAAAAACCACTAATTTGGAAATAATTTCAAACTTTCAAGTTGCAGGAATAAGAACAGTACAAAGACCATCCTTTACCTGGTTTACCTATTAATATGTTACCCCATTTGCTTTATCATTTGCTCCTTTTCTTGAAGTTCCATACATTGTGCTCTCTAAGAGTAGGAATATATTCTTGTATCACAACCTTGTAGTTTCCAGCTTCCGTAACTCAGTCTCCACCCCCAAACCCCTACACTAGGACTGCCCGTTACAAGAGAAAACTAAAGGCAAAGCCGTTAAGTGACTTGCCTAGTGTAAAGTTACATGGCTTCTAAGTGGAAAACCAACCTGTTCTTCTTTTCTTTTAGTGTTTTTTATTTATTTTTGAGAGAGAGAGCGGGAGCGCACACGTGCGCGTGCGAGCACATGAGTGGGGGAGGGGCAGAGAGAGAGGGAAACACACAAAGCAGGCTCCAGGCTCTGAGCTGTCAGCACAGAGCCCGACGAGGGGCTCGAACTCATAGACTGCGAGATCACGACCTGAGCCAAAGTTGGATGCTTAACTGATTGAGCCACTCAGGTGCCCCCCCCCCCCAATTCTGTTTTTCAATTCAGGTATTGGTCCTTGTCCCTAACATTATAGTAGAATCTTTTTTTTTCCTCCTGAGAAGTCAAATCATTTAGTAATGTTAATCTAGTAATTACAATTATAGTTCTTTTAAACCAGTGCTAACCATCCCACAGCATAAAGGACTTGATCTATAGAGGACTCCAGACACCATTATTTCCTCGACATTGTTTGGCTGTAAGACAAACCCTTAGAAACATTGTTTTGCTTCTGCTTCTTAGTTTGTGTAAATAAGAATGTTCTTGGGGCACCTGGGTGGCTCAGTAGGTTAAGCATCTGACTCTTGGTTTTGCCTCAGGTCATGATCTCATGGTTTCATGAGTTTGAGCCCTGCATCAGCTCTGTGCTAGGGATTCTCTGTCTCCCTCTCTCTTTGTCCCTCTCTGTCTCTGTCTCTCTCAAAATAAATAAATAAACTTTTTTTTTTTTTTAATTTTTTTTTCAACGTTTATTTATTTTTGGGACAGAGAGAGACAGAGCATGAACGGGCGAGGGGCAGAGAGAGAGGGAGACACAGAATCGGAAACGGGCTCCAGGCTCCGAGCCATCAGCCCAGAGCCCGACGCAGGGCTCGAACTCACGGACTGCAAGATCATGACCTGGCTGAAGTCGGACGCTCAACCGACTGCGCCACCCAGGCGCCCCAACTTTTTTTTTTTTTTTTTTAAGAATATTCTTGAATGTGAGTGTTTAGGTTTCTAAAGGGCTTTAGGTTGGCTTTGTTTAAGTCTTGATATGCCCTGGTTTGAGGCCAGATAGCGTAGTATTCCTTTAAAATATGGGAGGCGGCTGTTATGTACCCAAACTGCCTCTAACAAATAGTGACCAGGTTGCTGGCCTACAAAGAGCAGAGTCCAAAAGGCATCACGAGGAATTCAAATTCAAAGTCTAACTGTGGAGTAAACTTCCTTCCAGTCTTTATTTCTTGGCACATTTTTCTTCTGGGTCAGTGTTTACCAAAATGTGGTCTGCCCACCAAATGCATCAGAATTTGAATTGCTTGACGCACTTGTTAAAAATTGCAGATTCCTGGACCTCACCAGAGACCTACTGAATCTGAATGTCTGGAGGTGAGGCCTGGAAATCTGCATTTTAAATGCACTGCTTGTGGACTTTTCTGTAGCCTGAGATGTGAGAATGCTGCTCCTGTGCATTCTGTCACATCTCTGTCATTCATCTTCAGAACTTTTCCACGTTCATTCTGTAGCTTTTGTTTTACTTCATTTTCACATGTTTGGGGTGGAAGGCTTTTGTTTGCTTGCCTCTTTTTTTTTTTTAAACTTTCTTTATTAATTTTGAGAGCGTGAGTGGGGGATGCACAGAAAGGGAGAAAGACTCCTAAGCAGGCTCCGTGCTGCCAGCACAGAGCCCAGTGTGGGGATTGAACTCAGGAAACTGCGAGATCGTGATCTGAGCCGAAACCAAGAGTTGGATACTTAACCTACTGAGCCACCCTGGCACCCCCACCCTGGCACCTCGCCTTGCTTCTTTTTTTTTTTTTTTTTAAGATGAAAGATTCATGTGCATAGTACAAATATCAAAAAATGTGAGAGTGTAAAAGGTATGCAGTGAATAACTCCCTCCCAGTGTCTTGGCTTTAGAGCAGTTGTGCTGTTCTGAGCCCTTTGGTGTGTTGTCTCATTCAGTTCCCCTCAACAATCCAATGGTAGGTCCTGTTATTGTTTCCATTTTATGCCCGAGGAAGACTGGCCCAGAGAGGTTGAGTCACTTTTTCAAAGTCACACAGGAAGTGGTGGCTTTGTGTGAGTCTGGCTCTTAATTAACCACCGTCCTCTGCTGAATTAGAGAATGCAAGGATCAACTAGGTTTAATACATGTAAAGAGCTTGTTTTGGGAGAGTAGAGAGTTCATTTTCAGTAAGGTAAATGTTTTATGTGAACTCAGACAGCCTAGCCTGGAGTTTCATCTAACCCTGGTAGTTGGGTATCCTCATGTAATTTCACACGAATCAGTTCTTCTCTAAATTGCACGGTGGACTTCAGGAGTTGGTGATACTGAACAAGAAAATGGTAGCAACTGAGGTCTTTCCCAGGCCCTACCATTGGCTGCTTTATTTACATCGCCAGAGCTTGGGATACAGGAATTGTTCCACTCCGTATCCTTTGGCTTTATTTGTAGACTTAGTTCTGGGATTCTTTTCCCTCTCTCATTTTCTGGAAGAATAAAGTGACTGGAGATCTTAAAAACCTGTTGTTAGGGCTTGAGTTCTGTGCATGAAGTGTCTTTAAAGTCAAGTAACATTTACTAAACTCTCACCATGTGCCAAGAACTGTGTGTACCCTAACAGACTTGACCCCCTAATAACATGGCATAGGAAGTCCAGTTTCACAGATGTTAAAGTAACTTACTAAAGATTACACATCTAATAAGTAGTGAAGTCAGATTCAAAATCCAGATGTCTGATTCTTCCTTTTAATTTATTTTATTAAAAAAATTTTTTAATGTTTATTTTTGAAGAGAGAGAGAGACACAGAGTGTGAGTGGGAGAGGGGCAGAGAGAGAGGGAGACACAGAATGGGAAGCAGGCTCCAGCCTCCCAGCTGTCAGCACAAAGCCAGACGTGGGGCTTGAACCTGTGAACCGCAAGATCGTGACCTGAGCCTCAGTCAGACGCTTAACCTACTGAGCCCCCCAGGCGCCCCAGATGTCTGATTCTGAACCCTGTTTCTGACATGCTCTGCAGACCCTGTAGGCAAGTGAAGGCTTGTTAAACCTCAGGACTCTAAACCTTGGTTCTAGCATGTGTTTAGGAAAATCTCTGAAGAAATGAATAATAGAAACCAGGTGACTTTGCCCATTTATCATGTTGTTTTGAGACTTTTAAGTTAATCTAAATCAAAGCAAGCCATTTAGTGTATTCAGATAGCAAATTTAGGTAGAATCCACAGTAAAGGTAAATGAAGCCTTAAGGTTTTTAAGTTTACTCTTTTAGCAGCATATTGTTATATACATTCCGTAGAAAGTATGTCAAGGAAAATAATTTAATGGTCAGGAGCACAGGTTTACCTTAAGTTCCTAGTTTGTCTTTCTTACCCTAGTCACCCCCTGCGGCCCCCCCTTCTCCCCCCCAGTCCCTTGGTCACAAAGGAGGAATGGAGTTCAAACTTGCCTTCTTGGGTGTTTTAAAATGACTATTCTAACAACTGATTAAACTAGGTTTTCTAAGTGAGCCATTCCTTAACCTTGAATTAGTAAAACATTAAAATATTTATGGCATCTACCACTGACCCCTATTTAGCAATGTAGGAGTTAATATGGAAGTTTCTGATTAAATACTGGTATTAGGCAATTCAGGAATTACAACAGAGGCCTGGAGGGAGAAGGGTGAGCATTAGTGAGTGTGTAAGAGGAGCCCCAGATAGCAAGTTAAGCAGAACTGCTCCTTTTTTTTTTTTTTTAACGTTTTATTTATTTTTGAGACAGAGACAGAGCATGAACGGGGGAGGGGCAGAGAGAGAGGGAGACACAGAATCGGAAACAGGCTCCAGGCTCTGAGCTGTCAGCACAGAGCCCGATGTGGGGCTCGAACTCACAGATGTGGGATCATGACCTGAGCCGAAGTCGGACGCTTAACCGACCAAGCCACCCAGGCGCCCCAGAACTGCTCCTTTTGTAAGAACATTTGAAATGAATGTTTAGACCCAGCCTTTACCTGGAAAATTGGTGGTCATTTCTGTGTCAGTGGGATTATTCAAGTTTTTGCCTTATTTGGGTTTTCTGATTTTTGAGAAAACATGGACATGTTTGTTTTTTAATAAGAGATCATAATATTAGAACTATATATTCCAAGTTAACATTTATCTGGGATGTATATATTTATATTTGTAATTTGTGCCTGTGTATTTAAATTTTTTTTAACGTTTATTTTTGAGAGAGCATGAGCGAGGGAGGGATGGCGGGGGGGGGGGGGGGGGGGGGACGGGATCGGAAGCAGGTAGAGCCTGATGTAGGGTTTGAACTCATGAACTGTGAGATCATGACCTGAGCCAAAGTCTGACACTTAACTGAGCTGCCCAGGTGCCCTTTGTGCCTGTATATTTCAAACCGCTTTTTTGAGATAATGATTCATATGATTCAATTCAGTGATTTTTAGTATATTCGCAGAGTTGTGCAGCCATCACCCCAGTCTAATTTTAGAATATTTTCATCACTCCAGAAAAACATCCCTTTTTATCCAACCTTTCCTTCCTTCCTGCTCCACAGAAGCCCTAGGTAGGTCACCACTAATCTACTTCCTGTCTCTCTACATTTGCCTGTTTTTTACATTTCATATACGTGGAATTATATGCTACATGGTTTTTGGTGACTGGCTCCTTTCAGTTAGCGTCATTTTTCAAAGTTCATCCAATTTAGAGTGTGTATCAGTACCTTATTGCTTCTTCCTGTTGAATAATATTCCATTGTATGGATATACCACATTTTCTACATTTTTAATTTTGCTTTCTAATTTTAATACTTCTGAGAGACTTCTGCTTCTGGAAAGATAGAGTAGATAAATTGGTTTTTGTCTGTTTGTTTTTTGTTTTTTATTTTTTGTTTCCTGTCTCGATATATCCCAGACCCGGAGCTATAGGAGCCGGCAGCCTAGAAACACCAACAGGTGCAGACAAAAACCTTCCTAACAGAAGCCTGCTCTCCCTGGCCAAAGAACCAGGAACGGGCAGCCTAAGCTTAAGACGGAAAGTTTTTAGGGGTGCCTGGGTGGCTCAGTCCGTTAAGCATCCGACTTCGGCTCGGGTCCTCATCTCACGGTCTGTTCGAGCCCCGCGTCGGGCTCTGCGCTGACAGCTTGGAGCCTGGAGCCTGCTTCGGATTCTGTGTCTCCCTCTCTCTGCCCTTCCCCGCTCGCAGTCTGTCTGTCTGTCTCTCTCTCTCTCTCTCTCTCTCTCTCAAAAAAAAAAAAAAGCTGTGACCTTGCCCCTACCCATAGCAGCAAAGGCCAAGCGGTTAGCCCAGACATCCCCTCTGGTGGTGGCCTATAACTTAACAAGTCCTTTATCGATCTGCATTGGGTGGTCTCCGGTGGGTGGCTGTTACAAACAGTGCTTCATTGCTCCTCTGTCTCTGGGCATCTGTATACATGTTTCTACAGAATAAATTTATAGAAATGAAATTGTTGGATTAATAGCATAAACGAAGCCTTCAAACATAACTGTTTGATGGATGGCATCAAAATATGGAAACATATAGGAAGTAGCACATTTTCAGTCTACGTTTTCTCTGTTCAGAGGGAGTGATTTCTATCCAGCCTTTCTGTCCAGTGATTCTGTCCTCTGTGCCTTCCATTTGGCAGTTGAAGCTCATCCTTTGAGCTCTCTTCTTCTTTTCTTTTTTGGTTGCGAAATTTCCATCTCGTTCTTCTTTACACCTTCTACTTCTTGGCCGAGTCTGTGTTTTCACTTGTTTCAGGCTGGTCTTCCTTGCTCCTTGAAGCACTTTTATTACGGCTGCTTTAAAATCTTTGTCAGCAAATTTTAACATCTCAGTCATCCTGATGTCCGCATTGTTGGTTGCCTTTTTTCATTCAGTTTGATACAGTTCTTTGTATGACAAGCGATTCTTGCTTGAAACCGGTACCTTTTCATATTATGTTAGGAGACTCTGGCTCTTGTTTAAACTTTGTTTAAACTTCCCTAACACTCAAATAAGACTTCTGTGACACTGCTGTGGAGGGGGCTGGGAGGGGAGAAGGGCAACAACACTGTCTGGTTACTGTCAGAGACTGAATGTCTACAGTGGCCTCCGCTGTGCCCCAGTGGGGTGGCCTCATTACCTCTGGTTGATGGTGACTGTCTGACTGCTCTGTACTGGGCCTCCTCTGACGTGCACCCGAGCAGGGGGGAGTAGGGCTTCGTCTTCCTGGCAGGGTTGGAAGCCCTGGCGCCCCCCTTGACCCTCTTGGCCACCATCCTGGCCAGGGCATGACAGCCTTCACAGGGTTGATTACATTACATTGGGAATAAAAATGCAGATTATAAAAGAGTTATGTAGGGTGCGATCACATATTTTTAAAAAAATTTTTAACGTTTATTTATTTTTGAGAGAGAGAGAGACAGAGCACAAGCGGGGGGGGGGGAGGCAGAGACGGAGGGAGACCCAGAATCCGAAGCAGGCTCCAGGCTCCGAGCCATCAGCAGAGCCCGACACGGGGCTCGAACTCATAGACCGTGAGATCATGACCTGAGCCAAAGTCAGACACTTAACCGACTGAATCACCCAGGCGCCCCAGCAATCACATATTGGAAAAAGAAAAGTAGTATGTTCATAGAAAATAAAAATTAAGAAGAATAAGGAACAAACTAGTGAATGTTTCAAAGGTAGAGGAACTCTGACTTTCTGTAGTGTTTCAATTTTTATTTATCTTTAACATCATGAATGTACTGTTAGAAGCAGTAAAAAGCAAAGTTTTTTTTTTTAAACATACTTTCTTAGATGCTATTGTTAGATATACCTATGTGTTAATTTTTATTATAATAAAGAACTGGGTATGGAATAAAGGTATCTTGATCTCCAGCATATAATGCATTCCACTGTACCATAATGTCCTCCTCAGTCCATTGTACCAATAGGTTATGTTCAACGTAGTTCATATTGAAGAGTGTAATTTTGATCCTTTAACTTGAATGAATTTTATTGAAATGTTTAAATGGAATTTTATTACAACACGGATTAAAGGAGGAAGTCTTTGACTTGTGACTTCTAGAAATCCAAGTTTTTCCAGTTTCACTGTATGTATACTTGATGAAAACATCCTTTTAGTAGCTCCCAATCTTATGCTGTTAAAAGTTCAGAAAAACTTGTAGTTGGCAATATTTCTCATTTGAATTGTCCTGAGTTTTGGCCTTAGTTAATGAAAAGCAGTTTTTCAGATCTGCTTTAAAGAGCACACATACTTTTATTTGTGTTTGTATAAGAGAATCGTATAAGGAGTGCGGGATGCGTAACAAGCGTTAGACATGCCCGAGAGGGAAGTAAGTGCGCGAAGGCAGAGGGGGCATTTGTGTCCTGACTGGGTCTTCACGCAGCGTCCCTGTCCCAGGGTGCTTCTGTCTCTACTGTCGCATATGCTCTGCAGACTGTCATAGGGGTTAGTTATGGTGTGGTGTTTCTGATCTGTAGCCAATCGCTGTTTACATCCGGCTTGCCTTCGGTTGAATGTCTTTCCAAGTGGCTCTATGTAACATCGTTATTACAACTTCTCTACCAACTTAATTTTTACACTCCTATGGCAGACTTTTTGGGAAATTATAGTTCATTTCATAGATTAAACAAATGGAATAGGACAAAGTGAGTCAGACTTGTTCTTTGGCTACCAAACTATACTGTTTTTTTAGGAAGTCTGAAGTTTGGTACACTTTTTCTTGTAGTTATATATTTAAGTTTATTTTGAGAGAGAGAGCGAGCAAGGGAGTGGCAGAGAGAGAGGAGAGAGAGAATTCCAAGCAGGCTCTGCACTGTCAGCACAGAGCCCGATGCAGAGCTCAAACTCGCAAGCTGCAAGTTCATGACCTGAGTGGAAACCAAGAGTAGGATGCTTAACCGACTGAGCCAGCCAGGTGCCCCTCTTGTAGTTACTAAAAGCATGTTAAAACCAGGAGGGGAAGACAAAACAAAACAAGAATGATAATAAAATTTGAGTATCTAAACCCACAGCCTTGTGTAAAAATATTAATCCTCAACATATACAGAAAGAGAATACCTTAACTTTTTATTATCTGTGATAAACTCACTTTTATGTTATCAGTGTTCTCTGTGTGTGGGGATAGCCAGCATCCTCAAAAAAGCAGCTTTGTGTACCATTTTGTTACATTGTATCATTGGATGACTTAGTTTTATGAACTGACTCTGCTTTGTCCAAGGAATATCACCCTGACCCTTCCCACACCAGTGTTTCTCAGTGTGACTAGCAGGTGCTTTGCTGTGTGATCTCCTTGGGTGCCTGTAACAAAATGAGGATTCCTGGGCTCCACCCAAGCATTCTTCTTAATCACAGTCCACAATCTCTGGGTATAAGGCCCAGAAATCTTCTATCCAAACTGTCTTATTTAGGTTATTATTATTGTTTTAAATTTCATTTTAGAGAGAGTGTGAGAGCAGGGGAGAGAGGCAGGGGAGAGAGAGAAAAATTTTTTTTAATTTATTTTGAGAGTGAGAGAAGGTACAAGTGGGGGAGGGGCAGAGAGAGAGGAAGAGAGAGAATGCCAAGCAGGCTCTGCACCATCAGGAGAGAGCCTGATGCCGGACTCCAGCTCACAAACCGTGAGATGATAACCTGAGCCCAAGTCAGACACTTAACCATCTGAGCCACCCAGGAGCCCCAAGAGAGAATCTTAAGTAGGTTCGGTGTGGAGCCTGACACAGGGGTGCAATCCCACGACCCTGGGATCGTGACCTGACCTGAAATCAAGAGTTGGATGCTTAACTGAGCCACCGAGGTGCCCCTTATTTAGATTATTCTTAATCACCTTAAAGTTTAAGAACTAGACCTTCTGCAGGAAGTCCAGATTTGTGCAAGTTGCAGTACTAGAAATTAACATGAGTCAGTCTGGTTACAATTCTGTGTATGTTTTGTTTCTGATAAAGAATGATTTTTATTATTATTTTTTAACCAAGCTTAGTTGTAACTCTCCCATGCTGATGAGGGAAGGGTTCTGGGATCTTCCTTTTATACCCGTGTGTTTTGTTAGTTGTGTTGTGTTTAATCGGTTAACGACTTTATTATTTTTTTTTTACTCCACCCTATTTCCCCATTAGTTTAGGAATACTTTACTAATGTAGCATTTTAGTGAAATGGCTTCTGAATATTTTGAGAGTTACTTTAGGATAATAAATAGTACTTGAATCATTCATCTTTGAATGAGTTGTCAAAAGTTATTTCTGGCTTTTTCCACCCTTTGTGGTGAAGAGGACTGTGTTTCTCCCTAGCAAGTGTTAGAATGTTCTCTTCCAGTATGCTTTCATTCCCCCCTCCTGTTTCCTGCTTCCCCTGTCCCTGCTTTGTAAACTTGGGGGCACAAGTGATGGAATTAAAGATTTGTCCCACTGATTTTTAGGAAAATTCTACTTCATCATTGAGCTTGGGGAAGTCATAGTCATCAGCTGCTCCATTCACATTAAGTAGGATTACAAATAGCTTATTATAAAGATACCTTGTTATTCTCTTGCTCCTGAATATATAAAACAGGATATGGGATTTTTATAATGAGTGTTTTTTAAATGAGGAGGGGTTGGTGATGATTTTAACTTTTTGGAAATAGACATACCTGTGAATTTCCCTCTTTATGTTGCCTTGTAAAGAATACTGTCTCATAGAACAGGAAATGACTTACGTTTCATACAGTTAATTAAAAGCAAATGAAAAGCCTCAAACTAGCTACATTTTAAGCAGTCATTTTAGCCATATGTCACAAACGACTGCTGTGTCGAACAGTGGTGATACAGATCATTTCTACCCTTGCAGAAAATTTTCTAGGACGGTGCTATAGTAGACTGGCCATCTTTAAGAAGAGAGAAGGCAAATGAAGGAGCAAAATAACAGAAACCTGAGTTTCCACTCCTTCTGTAATGCAACTTTTGCTATCTTCTTGGACCCCTGATTATAAGTCAGAAGAAAGTCTTTCGTTTTGAATGTCACCGCTCTGACCCTGGTTTTCGATGTTGATTTCTGTTTCCTAGGCTGGGAGTGATGGTGAGAGCATAGGAAACTGCCCCTTTTCCCAGAGGCTCTTCATGATTCTGTGGCTCAAAGGAGTTGTATTTAGTGTCACAACCGTGGACCTGAAAAGGTAAGATTTTGTTGTGGTTGGAAATTAACTTGAGTGTATAGTGTTTTCAGTTTGAGCCTCTCCCCTCCCTATGTATGTATATGCTCTTTAAAGGAAATACATTTATTAAAGTTCAGCTGATTTGTGGACAAATTTAACTTGTGTAAGTATTATGGATAACTCACAATATCAGTAAATTGCATTTACTGGCCACTCAGTCTTTTTAGGAACTTACTGTATGCTTACTCTTAACTTCAAGACCAGCACCAGGATCTTTGACTTTCCAGTGTAAACGTGGAACTATGAAGAACTTTCTAAGCAGACAGCTTCTTCATTTAAAAGGTGCTAAACTCATGGTGTATATTATCTGGATCCTTCAAGACAAGAGTGGGATTTTAGGAGGACGAATACGACTGTGGGCTATTTTATTTATTCTCCTTTACAGGGAACTGTCTGTAATATGATTTTAACCATATTTGGTTAAATATAATTGTGAAATAAGAGCCGTTATCCATGGCCCTGTGATTATTCTTGCTCGGTGAAGAGTTGTTTCTAACTCTGCCTCCACAGGCCCAAGTGGAGAGGACTGGGAAGGGCCCTGATAGGTAATAGGTTCCTTGTGTTCAGGAGCCCCTCTGTTCTTCCTCGGCAAATAGGCTCGACGTGAAGAACATTCATACTTAGGGGAAAAGAAGAGATTGGTTTATTTATTAAAAAGAATTTTTTTTTTAATGTTTACTTCTGAGAGAGAGAGAGAGAGAGAGAGAGCGCGCGCGCACAAGTGGGGGAGGGGCACAGAGAGAGGGAGATGCAGAATCCGAAGCAGGCTCCAGGCTCTGAGCTGTCAGCACAGAGCCCGATGCGGGACTCGAACCCACAGACTGTGAGATCATGACCTGAGCTGAAGTCGACGCTTAACCGACTGAGCCCCCCAGGCGCCCCGAAAAGAAGAGATTTAAATCAAGGGTTAAGAACAGTTATAACAAAAGGAAGTCTAGGATTGGGCAGTGGAAATGTATGCCTCTTGCACACACACAACAGCATGGCTTGTTGCTCATTTTTTTAAGCATGATCAGTCACGAACAGCGTCCAGGAAAAAACATGGGTGGCAGAAGTCATGCATGTTATTCCTCTGGGCGTCACAAAGCGAGACTTTTATCATCCCATTTCCAGTTCCAGGCTAGCATTCCCTGCATTTCTGTCGGTAGCTTAAACTTTATTCTTTACTTACTGCTAGTGCCCTTATTTGAGATTTTGGAGTCTTAAAATTTATTTACTGAAAATAATCCAGGAAGCCGTCCAGGAACCCGTTAATTATGTATCTGAAGGCAGAGGTAAGGTAAGCCTTTGGGGACAGTAAGAGTTAAAACTATAGTCTGTTTCAAAGGTGTGCCACCTCATATTGGACAGAGCTGTTGGAAGAATGAAATAATTCAAGTAGTTCCCCTTCGATGACTGTCCCCCCCTCCCACATGCATTCAAAAAGCAAGTTTCCCAGTGTAACTTCTAAAAATAGACCATGCTACCAGGCACACACCCTTACTGTGTCTTAAAATACACGGATTTCTCCTATTCCATTTTTGGCTTGGAGCAAGTGAGTTGGCGGCCGTGCTTCGAAAAAGCCTTCTTTGAGCAGCTCAACACAGTGCGTGATTGTGGCACAGACCGGCAACAGTGCCATAAACGAAGGGAGTCTGGTTCAGGAAAGGAAGTGAGCTCATAATGGCTCTTTCACTCTTCCTGTACAAACTCTTGACGGCATTATTTCTGTACGTGGATTGATATTTGCGGATGTGTATGTGTCTCAGAGTAATATACGCTGCGTGTGAAAAGTGACACGTGGCAAGTAGGATTGAGGGATTCAAGGCTCCCTCATTAGTGAGTATTACCCCCCAGAGAAGATGTCTGTTTCTTTCCTAGGCTTTGTGTGAAACCAACAGCACTTGACACTGGAGCCTGTATTTCGTAGTTTCCTTCAGAAATCTTGGGTCTACAGTACATCCAAAACCTTCTCAAGGGCAATTATACATGTATATATAAGGAGTACCTGGTAACGAATCCGTGCCACCTCCAGCCCCTGGTCAGCAGCTTCCGCTTCACAGATACCGTCGCATCTAGGTTTGGTCTTTATCCTTCCAGACCTTTTCAGTGAGTTAAGACACTTAAAGTCTTGAGTCAGATTTAAAGAGAGTGAACGCTGGCTCAAAACATCGTTGTGAAATGAAGTTGTCACAGAGGAATCAAGCATCCTGTAGTGAAAAAAAAAAAACAAAAACGTACCTCTCACAGTATGTTCTTAACTTTAAAAACTTTAGACAGGACCGTTTCTAAAAAGCTGCGGGGGGAGAAAATGCCTACGGTGCTGATTTTCCTGCTTTTCCCGGTAATTGTCTATAATTCCTCGGTGAAGACTGCCGACCGCCCAACAAACCAGTGGAGAGCAGTGGGACTCAACTGAGAGCTATTTCGGGGCCCACTCTGTGCTCTGAAAAAATTATTGTTCCATGACATTTCATCCATAAGAACAAGCCAGTTTCTCGTTCTGGCAGTGTAGGACACGTTCTCTTTGAATCTCAATTGATGTTAATGACTGTGCTGGTGGTATTCATGAGCCCCTGTGAGGCTTAGAACAATCCCCCTCGGCTTGCCTGCCAGTGCTGCCTTAATGCTTTAGTGGGAGTCATTCCTAAACCTCATTTTCTGTTCATGCTGCAATTGTATTGCAGAATTGGAGATTTAAAAAAAAAAGTGCTCAGCCTTCGGAAGGAATTTGGGCTTTACATCAGCCACCATTTAAGCAAGATCTTCAGTTCATGAATAGAAACGAAAATATTAAAATTGGGAGCATATTTAAAGGTGTTATCACATGTCATCAAATGGGGAGCAATGGATTAGGGATAGAGACCTGGTTCCGTGTAGAGAGAGCCCTGTCACTTATTTCCGTGGGACCTCGGGCAAGATGCCTCGTCTTCTCTGGAGGTGAGTTACCTTGTTTCTAAATTCAGGAAAAAGGGGGGCGCCTGGGTGGCGCAGTCGGTTAAGCGTCCGACTTCATCCAGGTCACGATCTCGCGGTCCGTGAGTTCGAGCCCCGCATCAGGCTCTGGGCTGATGGCTCAGGGCCTGGAGCCTGTTTCCAATTCTGTGTCTCCCTCTCTCTCTGCCCCTCCCCCGTTCATGCTCTGTCTCTCTCTGTCCCAAAAATAAATAAAAAACGTTGAAAAAAAAAATTTAAAAAAAAAAAAAAATAAATTCAGGAAAAAGGAAGGAAAAAATAAGATTTCCCCAGTGTCTACTGTGTACTCAACACTGTTCAGGGTACTTTTTACTACTCGTCAAACCATTTTCAGACACTTCTGTTGAATAGAATTCATTGTCTTATATCATACTGGCTGGACAGGTTTGTGGCAGTGATGAAAATCTTTGAAGACTTCTGCTACCTTCATTATATTTAATTATAAAAATTTTAAATCAACGATTAGCATCTTTGGAGCACAGATAAGCCTGAGAGGCAGGCAAGGGGAGGAGAAAGAAGGAAGAATAACAACAGTAGACTCCCCATCCCCTGTCTCTCTCTCTCTCTCTCTCTGTCTGTCTCTCTCTCTCTCTCTCTCTCTCACACACACACACACACACACACACACACACACACACACACACCCTGTTCACATGCTGAGACCCTGACTTGGATATATCTAAGTGTGGCCATATTTTGTCACATATTTGTTAGGTAAGCTTTTCTAGTTTTGGGAAATGAGAGGAGAAATGATAACATTAAGAAATGAACCTTTTTTTAAGTTTACTTATTTATTTTGAGAGAAGGTGCACGTGTGGGAGGAGCACACAGGGAAGTGGGTGGGGGAGAGAATCCCAAGCAGCGGAGTCAGACGTGGGGCTCAAACTCATGAACCGTGAGATCATGACCTGAGCCCAAATCAGGAGTTAGACGCTTAACCAACTGAGCCACCCAGGCGCCCTAGAAATTAGCTTTTTGTTGTCAAAGTGGTGGTATATTACCAGTGAATAAAATCCCTCCTCTGTGATGTCCTCTGAGAAAATAAATAAATTGGAGAAGACTGCTTTTAAAAATCATGGGAGATATGGGGCGCCTGGGTGGTTCAGTCCGTTAAGCATCCGACTTTGGCTCGGGTCATGATCTCACGGTTTGTGAGCTCAAGCCCCGCGTCAGGCTCTGTGCTGACAGCTCAGGGCCTGGAGCCTGCTTCCGATTCTGTCTCCGTCTCTCTCTGCCCCTCCCCTGCTCATGCTCTGTCTCTGTCTCTCAAAAATAAATAAACATTTAAAAAAAATTTATTAAAAAAAAGTCTGGGAAATACATGTTTCCATTTTCCCATTTCCACCGTAAACTCTGAAACTTGCCTATCATTTGCATTGTCATCAATGATTTCCTTCTGCTTCACATGCTGATACACCATTCGTAAGGGACTGTGTAAGACTCACTTGTAAGTTGCCATAATAATAGCATAAAGTTTTGGAGGATTATTAGGACAGTTTAAACTTGAACTATTTTGTAATCATTTAACAAGTTACCACGGAGCTATAAAACTTATAGTTCTGCGTATTCTTGAGAGGCATTTATAGACTCAGAACAAAATCTGATTTCTAGATTCTTTTTTTTTTTTCCAACGTTTTATTTATTTTTGGGACAGAGAGAGACAGAGCATGAACGGGGGAGGGGCAGAGAGAGAGGGAGACACAGAATCCGAAGCAGGCTCCAGGCTCCGAGCCATCCGCCCAGAGCCCGACGCGGGGCTTGAACTCACGGACCGTGAGATCGTGACCTGGCTGAAGTCGGATGCTTAACCGACTGCCCCACCCAGGCGCCCCATGATTTCTAGATTCTTCAGGTAGTTTGCTTTTGTTATCATGTCTCTGTGATTCTACCCTTCTGAAAACTGTCTTCAGCAAGTTGAGAGATCAGTTTGGTCTCCAGGTGGTGACCACAGTGTGGATGACACATGCAGAGAGACTAAATGGAATGGAACAGGCCAGCCTTTTAGA